CCTTTGGTAACTATGATGGGAAAAATGGTTAAGAATATGATATATTTTGTGGTGCTTTTACTAGTTGTACTTATGAGTTTTGGTGTAGCTAGGCAAGCTATATTACATCCTAATCTTGCACCAGAGTTGCGTATAATACGAGATGTAAGCATACATTTTTTATTTCATATGTATAAATATAATCACATCGTGATCACGTCTAAAAAAATCTGTACATATCTTTTTTTAATTGAAAAAATTCATATAATTATACATTTTCGACAGATATTTATGCAGCCATATTTTATGCTGTATGGAGAAGTGTACGCGAGTGAGATAGATCCTGATTGCGGAGATCAGCCAGGAATGGAGCAGTGTCTTCCAGGTCGTTGGATCGCGCCTCTTACAATGGCCGTGTACCTTTTAGTTGCCAATATTTTGCTGATAAATCTGTTAATTGCGGTGTTTAACAATATTTTCAATGAGGTAAATGCTATAGCTCATCAAGTCTGGATGTTTCAACGGTTTACCGTCGTAATGGAATATGAACAAAAACCGGTGTTGCCGCCACCGCTTATAACGATTTGCCACATATATTTACTGTTGAGATATTTTCTGAAACATATTACACAAGGTAAAAGTGGCACTGGCGAGACCTCTGACAATGGACTTAAATTGTTTCTGGAAGCTGATGACATGGAACGATTGTACGACTTTGAAGAAGATTGCGTCGAGGGCTATTTCCGTGAGCAAGAACTCAAGTTGCAAATGTCAACAGAGGAGCGAGTGAAAATTACAACAGATCGAGTAGAGAACATGCATCAAAAGATCGAGGACATCAATAAAAAAGAAAGCAATCAGAACGTGTCTCTTCAGGTATATATAATTTATATCAGAATGTTTATAACCTAGAAAAACTTAATAAACCTAAAATTTTCAGAGGATTTTTTTTATTCTAGAAAAGGATTTTCATGGAATTTTATTAAGATTTAGGAAAATTTTTAAAATTTTACTTTTTAATAATCGAAGCCTAATGTGCTGGAAATTGTATAAATTTACAAGAAATGTTTAGGAAAAACCATTTTAATTATACTATTTTTCACTTATGTGTTTACTTTTAAAATTTTGACTGTTTCTAATAACGTTATTTCTTTGATTATTCTTTTTTGACAAAATGCTGACAATCAATTAGCAATAATTAGCATATACATCTGTGTATAATATTAATATGTAATATTAATATTAATAAATAAGTGTAAAGAAAACACACACACACACACGCAGAGAGAGAGGGGGGAGGGGGGAGGGGGGAGGAAGCGAAGAGGAGAGAGAGTTGCTTATTTTGGCCATATTTTTTTAAAACGGCTGTGTGTTTTTTTTATATCAACTGATTCATTTCATTATTCTGTTCATAAAAGCATTTAGGTACAATTACCAAAAAATCAATAGTTTACGAGTTTACATATGAGTATTAATATGGGTAACATTTTATGATAACATTTTAGAATAAAATATAACATCTCAAACTATTGGTTTTTTGATACCTCTACCTTAATACTTTTATATGCAGAATAATTATAGGAATCATATTGTGTAAAAAAATTCATATAATTTTATTTTTAAAAATGAAATTGAAATGTCTTCAACGCCCCAACGCCAACCCATAAAATAATTATTTTCACTATTTGATGTTCCCTTTTGTACTGAACACATTAATATAAACTGTTTCTTCATATATCTTCAAATTTCACTAATAATAAAATCGATCATTTTATATGAATCTGTACATACAAGATCGTATAAGTGATCATTCCTTTTTATCCCGTACACTAATAGAGATATAGACTTTTAATAAATATAATATCAAATTAAATAGCTCAAACTAACTTTATTGTAAGCATAGTGATTACTGAAAAAAAATTATTTATGTTAAAGAATGGAGAGATATTTGCATAATTTAGCAGACTAACGTAAATATCTTGATATAATAAAAGTTGTAATAACCTTTCTAATAAGTACAACGATGATATGATATAACAAAATTATTTTACAAATTATACAAGTTATTTCAATTTAAAATTTGACAAACGACTACTTTTTTAGTTTCGGCCCTGCGATGTAGCTTCCGACTTTTGCATTGATGATTAACATGTAAAGCAGCGTCTACGAAATTTTTAAGGCGTAAAATTTAAACTTTAAGCCTTAAGCTGTAAGAAATGGACTAATCGCAGTAATTATTTTCCTCACTGATTCAACTGATTGGTCAATTTCTTATGGCTTAAAACTTAAATTTTAAGTTTTTAATCTCATTGTAGATGTAGTTTTTAATCTCATTGTATTGCCGCTTAACATATTTTTATTCCAAAAAGCAAAAAACCATTTCTATGATTGTTATAACGATATTCTATAACATGTAATGTTTTCAAATATATTATATTTAACATTGTACAATATCATTATGAGCAAACTTTAACACTTATTTGGAGGTTTCTTTAATATTGATGTTCTATCATGAAATAACATTAAATAATGTTGCATTAATAATAATGAATCTTTTAGAAATGTTGAATTACAATATTGTAAAATATTGAAAAAAATAAAAATTCAGTTCAGTATTTATTAAAGTAATGTCTTGCAGACACTGCAATTCAATATTCAAGAATATTAATTCAATATTTAATATCGCATAAACATCAAGAAGGTTTCTAAATTAATTTTTGTATAAAATCTAAATGAAATAATTTTCAAAATATATTTTGCTTTCATCTTGGAGTGTCTAGGTCATTTTCTAGAAATCACAGGAAAAAATAATATACAGGGTGTCCCAGACCTACGAAATCATTTCTCGTGAATAGATAGATCGGAGTGAACTGAATTGAAAAGTCCTATATCATTTTGCAATTTCACAATACTTTAAGAGATATTAATTTCTTATATTAAAGATCACCGGATAAGCACGTATCCATGCGTTATTAAAAATTAAATTCAAGGGATGCTGCATTATTTAGTAAAAATGTTTATAATAAGATCGAAAATCTTCTCGTGGAAAATGGGATGGGACAACAATAATCTTCTATCAATATAAAAGAATCCTATCAATTAAGCTCATGATTATGCCTAATTTATGGCATATAGAATGGTGAACGAGAAATAATGTAAATATTGTGCCGAAAAAAGGGTTTATGATGCCAATCATATATCAACTTATTATCATTCTTAAGGTCAAATCAAGGAAATTTAAACTGTCGCTTTCTAACTCCATGGTGAACTTTAGTCTTGGATGGTATCCATTAAATGTATTCAATAGTACATCGACATTTTGATCCTGTGTTGAGAGAGCAATGTCATCCACGTACCTGAAGTAAAATCCCAAAGTAAACATAATTCAGTTTCAAAATCGGGAGATCAAAAACGGGTGAGAAAACCACCGATTTTGCGATCACATTATTTTCGAAAAATGAATAGTTTACAAGATATTTTATGTTAATGTCAATATGTGCCGAAATAAAACGTATATTTATAACATATCTTGTAAACTATTAATTTTTTGATAACTAGAACTCTAACATTTATATATAGAATAATTAGGAGAATATTATGTCATTCATTAAAATCATACAATTTTTTTAAAAAAGAAGATGACCTTTAAATCTTTGAAATTCAAAGATTTAAACTACTATATTTAATAAAGAAGCGTTATCATCATAAAATGACTGCTTCTGTATAATGTAATTTTTGTTAGATAATTTTGTCTCTTACTCTCATGGTTTTAAAGATATTTAAGATGCAATAGTTATTGTTTCATCTTGTAATTTAAATAGCTTCTATTATGCACTTATATATAATATATATATATATATATATATATGGAATATATAATATATACTAAATATGGAATAATAAAAGAAAATCCGAACTTTTAAGAATTTATATTTATTGAAAGAAACGATAAATGTTTTATTAATACATAAAAATTAATGTTAAAATAGAAGTAATATTCAGTTTTAATAATAGAGAAAAGTAGATAATATATAATTACATTTCTGATATATCAGGATATATCAGAAATATTCATTTTTTGTTAACCATATTTTAATATTTTTAATATTTTTATATACAAAGGCAATCGTGCATTTACACAAAAAGAGATCAACAGAGACAATCAAAGAGACAATTCTAAGATACTAACAAGCCATCTATCTATATATTATCAAAACCGAGGCTATATTCTAAAATTCCTGTCCCGAAAATGCTGCACATAACATAAACTACAGATTTTAGCGCTGACAGTGAATTTTTTTGAATACAGCACGAGAATTATCTTTATGATCAATTTTTCTCATATTAATTGAAAATTGTAATTTTTTTAGTGAATTTTTTATTTTTATGTTTCTCGACTTTTCTTTTTATTTATACAAAACATCATTTTTATATTTACAGGCTGTCGAATTTCGTATCCGCAAATTGGAGGAGTTGAGTCAACAAACTTTAGCACATCTCGGGGTGATTCATCGTTTCATGGCGACGTATATGCCCAATGAAGAACTAGCCGGATTAGGAGCGTTTGACAATATTCGACAGCGTCGGGTATCAGAGCGATCGGAGGTTCTGTCCGAAGCAGATTCTCATACGCAGCTGTCGACAGTCGCACGACGCAAAAAATTTCTACGATCTCTCACCGATGCTGCTTTCCTAAATGTTAACCATCCGATAGACGATGTTCTCAAGGCTGAAGCTATGACTTCCCGTGAAAATCTTAGTAGACACGACTCTTCCGTAAGCATACACGCTCACGTCGATCAAGACGATATCAAGATAACTAAAAACTTGGAAATGGAAGACAGCAAAGACATTTCCGAAGGCGAAACAACCGGCAAAAAAGAAATACCATCCGAGAGAGAAATGAGCCGAGATACTAGCAGAGAAGTAAGTAGAGAAATTAGCATGGAAGCTACCAGTAGAGAAATCAGCAGGGAGGTCAGCAGAGAGGCTAGTAAAGAGGCTAGCAGCGAGAATCCGTCCTCCGACATCAAACAAGATTCAACGGAGCGTATACTCGGACAAGATTCTGCGGAGCGTAGTACATTTAGGCTGAACAGTAGAACTCGATCGGAATCCGATGATTTTATGCTGCTTCCACCGCCAAACACTCAGAGAGGCGTAACTTGGGCGGAGCCTCGCGTGGCTGTGATTCCGTCGTCTGTCACTTCAGTTGGTAACATGCAAAGATCGATTTTATTGGCAATGCGCGCCGAATATACTAGCATCACGGATGAGCTGGAGAGTTATTGTGGTTTATTGAGCCCGCCAAGAACACCACCGGTCTCACCGCCACCGTCACGGATGCGCAACATATCGGACATATTGAATCCTGAGATGGCATGGCAGATTGAGAATGAGCATTTGCGTGACGCGGAAGAATGCGATTATCAACAAATGGAGGATTTGATTCATCGACGTTACCACGGCGACAATAATAATGATGACGGACCGCCGAACATGCATGCGGATAATGGTGATATCACATATTTCTTTAATGTATCTAACGAACACCGCCAGCTGCGCCGCGCCTCCGCGATCGAGGAGGATCCCCGACGACCACCGCCAATGATTAGCGTCACTCGTGAAATCGAGCAAACGCTTGCACGACCACCGATACATGATTCGGAGGGGACCAATCCGAGTGATAAGAATCTGAGTACCGTACCTGCCCCCGCTTCTGAAACCATGTGTTAAAATGAAAATCAAGTAGGAAAAATATGCATCATTTGCTAAGCTTTCAGAAAATCAATTTCCAATTAATAAAATATCGAATAAAAATCTTTATCGGATTATTAGCTTTATCACGATTTTTACTATTCGAATATAATCGTATTAACTCTTCGTGTTCATTAATCATCAACGATGCATAGAATTTTAAATGTTTTTAACAATTACAAGAGTAATTAACTATCTCTATTTTAAGATTATTGGAGGTCCAATACATTTCTTCTAATCTAATATTGCTTCTCAATCCCCAGACAGTACCAAGTTGTTAGTCGGCTGTCTGTCGACAGAAGGATCTAAAGTCGACTTGAGTTAGATTGAATGTCAATCAACTCGACTTTAGATCCTTCTAATCGACTAATATCCGTTTCTACCAATATAGATTAACTTTAATCTTCTTTTAAAGGAGAATATCACTATAATGGCCGGAAAAAAAGTCTTTTATGAACTTTTTTTGTGAAAACTAATAGCTTATATGAATTATTATGAATTATGTTTTTATATATTTAAAGTACATACATTTATGTAGTTACAAAACATTCATTAAATAATATTAATATTTCTAGCCTTAGTGCTCATTGATGTGCACTTCATCTGGAAAAACATGGGCGCTCGTACTGCGTCTGAACGGGAGCTCTAAATAAAAAAATTTTTTTTTATTTTAAAGTATAGTAAGTAAGTAAAGTAAGTAATTTCAGTTAAGCGTACTGAATTTTTTAATAAAATAATTTTAAACAAAATAGCGCTGTTTTAAAAAAAGAGATTACGATTTTGAAAAAAATCGTTATTTTTTTTATTGTTTTTCAAAAACTAATAATCCAATTGAAAAATTCGTACGCTTAACTGAAGACAATTTTGTTGTAAACATTCTGTCCAAAATTCAAGTTATTTAGATAAAAAATTGACCGAGATAGATGAGCGCCCAGTTACATGATTTCGAGAAAACATGTTTAAGTTAACATGTTAAACATGTTAAAGTTTTACAACCGATTAATTTACGCATTTGACCAAGTACACTTCATCACATATTTATTATAATTCCGTTATGAATTTCAACATAATATTTTAGGGACATTTATATTTTTAAGACTCCAAGCATTACAAAAATGCAAAAAAAATCGATTTTTTTTAACTCGTCACAGTGGTGTTTCCCCTAATTTACTCTTCATCTTTTTCTAATTCTTAGAAAAAGATGAAGAGTTTGTTGAATCGAGATTAAAATTAAACCACATTGGTAGAAACGGGTGTAAGACCCTTTTGTGCAACTCACGATTGAATTGGAAACAGCTGAGGAACAAATTGAACCTCAGTTAAGACCGTGATTATGGGACTGAAACGATGTCCCAACTGTAGTTAGCTGTAAGTTAGCCAATGTAATCGATTATGTTAATTTTAAGTCGTATAAACCGATAATCATCTAATTTTAATAGTCGGTTAAATGTCGACTTTGAAAGTCGACTACCAGTTGACAAATAGTCAAGCGTGCTGTATGGGTTTCTCATGTTTAATGTTTTAATGAAATGAATACACTATCACATTGGCGTATGATAAATAGGAAAGCAAGATCTTTGCACAGTATAAAACATTTTGTACTTAATACTTGTGTTAAAACCGGTTTTTATAATTTTTTAGTTGAACTTTTAACATATCCGAATAATTAATAAAAATTTGGGTGAAATATACAAATGTGCTGAATTTAACACAAATTTTTTTAACTCTATAGAAGGAAGCGACCGATTAAAGCAAAAAATATAGAATAGAGCAGTGACGCGCAACCTTTCTTAAGCTTTATTGCACACGATAGTTTGACACTTTTGTTACACAATGGGTTTCGTGTCCTGAGTTATTTTTCATCAATTTTACAAATATATATTAGAAAGAAATTCTGTAAATAATACATTTTGAATTAAAAAAAACTTTGTAAAAAGCTTCCTTTTGAGTTAAATTAAATACATTTCTACTGTTAAAAAAATTTAATGCCAAAAATATTCAAAGTTATAAGCTTGTTTAGTTAAAAATTTACTGTTTGCATTATAAAATGCAATAATCACTCTGCTCAGGGCGATTTCCCATACGAAGCGAGGTATACTTTATTTAAACATTGGCATTAAACTTTTTTTCCGATGAAAATCCATTTAAAGGTATTCATTTGTAATGTCATTTGGAGTATTTGTCAAAATTTACGATAATCGGGCGTAGGATGTTAAGTATCCCCGACCTACGGGATCGCGTCTCGTGAATTGATAGAGCGGATTGAACTGAATTGAAAAGTCCTTTATTATTTTGCAATTTTCTCAATACTTTAAGAGATATTAATTTCTAAAAATCTGAATAGCACGTATTTGCGCGGACTATCTTCTGATGGTGGTGTCGGATGTGAACGAGGCTCTGATAGCGAGAAGTCGAAGTCTCTAGAATTAGACTCAAAAAGACCCGTTTCACGCAAAAATTGTAAGTTGACATTTTCGTACATTTCATGTACGAAAATGTTCGGAAGGCTATCAGAAAAGAAATGTATATGTTTGAGACTCACAACTCGTGTGGGAAATATGTGAAAAAAAATTCGAATAGTTGCAAAAAGCAGGTTTTTCGCTTATAAAACGGAAGATTTCGATTGTATGGAAAAAAGTTCAGTATGAAAAATGTAGGTATTCAAAATACCCACAAAATGAGATGTGGAACATTAAGATCGGTCTATTACAATAAGTTAAATAGAAAAAAAATACCGAAAAAGGCCTTTTTTATTCGTTCCATGTGAAAACGCATCGAATAAGTTTAATTTCATTGGTTTTTAAAGCGTCAGCTATAAACTGAATAATTACATTCTTAAATATCTCCCTCCCTCCTCCCTTTGTTTCTGTGACAGATTTCCTAATCCCAACAGTTAAACTTTGACGTTTAATATCTCAGATCATAGAACGACACTTTTTTCTTCTAAATTCCATCTTATTCAAAAACAAGGCTCAAATGAGCCTTATTTCATCAAAATCGGATGTGAGGCAACTCTTCTGAAGAATTATCGCGAGGGAGAGGAGAGAGGGGAGGAAAGTCCCACGCTTCGCGTGGAAAGTCGAAATTCACATAGAACAGTACAATTATAGATCTCATGTTTCTGTGACAGAACTTCAATAGTAATTAACTTTAACGCTTAATATCTTGATCCACGGAACCGTTTCAATGTTTTTTTATGCCCATTTCCACCAACATAGATTAACTTTAACCTCGGTTCAACAAAGAGTAAGTTGAACTGAAATTAAAGTTAATCTACGTTGATAGAAATGGGCATTAGAGATTCTTTTATTTGTAAAAACGCCTCGAATAAGCTTAATTTCATCAAAATCGAAGGTGCAATACTCTAATTACATTTAATTTATTTAATAATTACAATAAAATTATTAATTACTAAATTATAAGACAATTTTTTTAACTTTTCCCAAACTATTCCGAAACTTTGCAATAAAAAAATAAGAAATGTTAAGTATTTCTGCTAACTATACGCTCGATTAATTTTCATTGATTATAAATAAATTATTGTTTCTTAAATTATAAGACTTTTCCTAAACTTTCTCAAACTATTCCCAAACTTATGCAATAAAAAAAATAAGAAATATTAAACTTGTTTGCTACTCGATCCTTATGCCTTATTTATTCTATATATAAAACCTCTTTTTATACAAACTGTTGGAAAATACTCTATTTTTTGTTCTGCCATAAAAGCACTAGATTTCTAAAGTACCGCAATAGGCTTTCGAGTTGATTGCGTCAAAATGGCGGAACTCCACCATTCATACGCTGCACGTACGAATTACTGCTTGCACATTTTACGGTTAACTTGCTCAATCGCTTGTATCTGCTCCATTGTCTTCATAATAGACTCATGAGAGAACTAACACAGTATATACAATAGCGCAATTCTCTATCGGCATCTTTGATGTTAGTGTTGACAAAATGGTGTGCGCATGCGTGAAATAAGTAAGTTACCTAGGCTATGTTCCAAAACTTTCCGAGGAAAATTTTACTCAAAATATATAGTACACGTTACGTATATTATAGCATATAGAATAAAATCTTCCTTGGAGAGAAAGTTTTGGAACAGCATGCGACGCGAATAAATCTACTTTTGCAATGAAATAATTTAAATTTTATAAAATATTAATAAAAATTGTAAATATATTGAAAAATAAAGAAAAAAATATATAAAACTATATAAAAATTAAGAAAAATATTAAATTAACTTAAAAATGTATATTTATATAAAGAAATATTATATAATTATATATGCTATGAAAATATTATGAGAAAGCTGATATAAACAAAATTTATGTACATATATGTCCAAAAAATAAGTTTAAAATACAATAAATAAAAAGTAATCTTTTTTGCTCAATTTTCTATGTTACTTTTGTTCACTTTTTCACAAAAATTAGACTCGAGATTTCTCACACATTTCATCAAATGGACAATACACATAATACTTCCCTCTAAATTTCTATTCTGAACCATGTATGCTTGAAAGACAAATGTTTAAGAACCGATTGTTTAATTTTTGATAAATTTTACCTGTAAGATAAAATTAATAAATCTGATCCGCGCATGTGATTGGGTAATCTTGCTATTTACCCAACAGGTAAAATTTACCAAAACTGGAACCAACCCTAAGTGAAACGCTCATTTAAATAAAGAGAGAGGGAGAGAGAGAGAGAGAGAGAGAGCAATAAAAAAGGAGGAAATGAGACAACAAATGGAACAACAACTTACTTATTTCATGTATGCGCGCTCTATTTAAAACTCAGGAGAGTTGCGCTACTGTGGTATGGTATGTCAACGCGATGTTGCAAACATACTTTGAAGTGTTTTTTAATTGGTCAGTTTGTAAAATTCTTTCTTCTAATTAATCTAATAATTCATCAAATGCTTCAAAGCATTTGTAGCGAGACTTTGACCACAGTCTGTAGGTTTGTTCGCGTCGCATGTTCCAACAAACTCCAATATGCTTCTATCATAATTCCTACTCACTTCAATACACTCATTAGAATTAGTAGTGCTATGGCAGGAATAAATCTTGTATATACTGTGGAATTAATCTTGGAGAGCAAGCTGCGTTCCGAAACCCATCAAATAAATTGTGTTGAAACCTTTTTGTGATCAGAGGTATGGTCAAAGCGATGTTGCAAATGCTTTAAAGCGTTTTTTAACTGATCAGTTTGTAAAATTCTTTCTTCTAATTGGTCCATCAAATGCTTCAAAGCATTTATAGCGAGACTTTGACCACAGCCCTGATGTACTTAAATTTGAAAATAGCTGCGTTTTGCGTCAAAATGGAGATAAGTTTGCGGTACTTTAGAAACTAGTGACTTTAGACTTTATTCTGCCATACAGCCGGATATAGCGCTTTCCCGACACCGTATTTCGAGCTCATTTTTTTCGAGACAGACTGCCAGCCGCTTGAGTTTGGTATCCTTATATCCGTGGTTTTTATCTATATTTCTTGATTATTCCTAACCTGAACATTCCTTAATTTTAAAAATTAATATCTCGGTTCACTAGACAGAGCAACGCTTTTCTTAGATTTATTCGTTCGTTTAATTTCGATTTTTAAGGTAACGTGGCAAATTAAACAATTATCCGCGAATGTAATTATATCATTTATATATTTATTTAATTTTATCCGTTGTGACTTTAAATACATCAATATGTATTTATTATTATAATATATATATTATCGTTTTTAATATTCGAAATAACAATTATTATAAATTTGTAAAATCAATCCATCTTTTTTGAACATATCAAATTTTTGCTTTTGTATGTAGCCACTAGTCATACGTTACGTGCCAACATGGACAATTTGGAAGTCAAGTTTGAACAGAGTCATAGTTTGAACAGAGAGATTCAACTTGATAAAATCCATGAAGAGAATCCGCGAGATTCGCGAGATGAAGTCACCTCGCATGGTGATGAAGAGCAGCGAGAGAAATTGATACGACTACCTCTGGGAAGAATAAAAACCATCATCAAAATGGATCCTGAAGTTTGTTTAGTTAATCAAGAGGCTACGTTTTTGGTGGCGAAGTCAGTGGTAAATATCGAAAAATTAACTGTGATACATTTTATGTGTTCAAATGATTATCTATCTTTTAACAGGAATTTTTTATTGAATCTCTTGCAAAAGAAGCTTATAAATATACTGCACAAGCAAAAAAAAAGACTGTTCAAAAACGTGATGTAGAAAATGCCATTGATAACGTGGATGCACTTGTATTTTTAGAAGGTATGCTCGATTAATTGCATAATTAGTTAGCTGTTATTATAGAACTGAAAAAAATTAATATTTTTTTATTTTTTTTACAATCGTAAGGTTACAATATTTGTGATATTTGCGAGCATTAAATACTGTTGCAATGATTTGTTATATTGTATATTTTTAATATCATATAAATAAGAATATTTAAATACGATAATTTATCCATGTAATAACTAGGAAAATGTTTGTGTCTCTTTCATCTGCTACAATAATAAAATTAGTTGTTCCTTACTGTATATCTTTTATATCATCTACTATATAAACAAGTTTTGCATTCTGAAAGCTTTATTAAACGTACTATATAAAAAAGTTTTATTTTAGTTTTAAATTCATTTATTATATTTTTCATTGGTACACAACAGATTGTTTTATGTATGTGAAATGTTTATTTGACACTTCACGAAAGCAAAAGTATATAGTAAATTACTTATATGTTAAAACTCATAAAAATATTTGCGGACAAACAATTACATTGTATTGTGAATATCTTTGTTTTTTTTTCCTAATCGAATTAATCTTTTGAATTAATTCCTTCTATATTGCTACTGTACTATTTTATATTTTGCTATTTGACTATGCGGAATGAAAATAAACGCAAGATGGAAATGAATAATTTTTAATGTTTGCATGTATCGTTAAAACAGATGCAGAAACTTGAAATAAATTTAGAATGAGAATTTTATTCAGTCTCCATAAATGAAATAAGAATGTTCTGTATATTAATGTATACATACACATATATAATAATAATGTGATAGTTCGTAAAATGAGCAATGTTCATTGCTTTTTTTATTCTATCTTTACTGAACTATTTATAAAGCGTTTGTCACAATAAAATCTTTGTAATTCACACATTTTTCCTAATGTTCTTAACGAATTCTATATCTTTCTATACGCTATAACTAATTGCAGCTTCTATAATGTAATATTGCATACATATATACACACATATGTACACACATATGTATATAATATCACATTTTTATCTTCTAAAGTTTTGTGTGTGTATGTGTATGTATACAGGATGAAAAATTTCAAATGCAATAGGAAAAAATATGTAGTTATATGTTGCAAAATGTAAAATTTTTTTAATAAGCAACTATGTATGTCTTTACACTGATTGATTCATCCCATTATTATGCGTAAAAATATTAAGATACGGTTATCAAAATAGTTAATAATTTACAAAGTATTTAATATTTCATGTCAATATATGACCAGAGTAAACCATAGAATAACTCGAAAACTATTGACTTTTCCACATCTCTACCTTAATTTTTTTATATGCAGAATAATTAGAAAAATCATATTAAAATCATGTAAAAATTCTACTTTTAAAGTAGCGATAACATTTTTATGATCTCGAAAGAATGATTTTTTAAAAAATTAATTTTACTATTATTTGCGCTTCATCAAATTATAATTTTTGTTTGAAATGTTTTTCTGTATTTTCCGTATTCGAGATATTTGTCTTATTTTACGTTTGAAACTCATCCTGTATACATATATATATTTCTATATATATAAAATATACATATG